TGCATAGAACAAAAAAAAAAAAAAAAAAGATATGCAGATCATTTCTGTACTTTAGTATATTGCTGCTCTTTCTTTATGAATAAATAAAGTTAAAAAGCCACAGAATGAAAGGTCTTACCTGTCAGATATGTGTGTGTGTGTGTGTGTGTGTAATCGTGAGGATCCTCCTTAGTCTGATATCTGTCTGATCTGTCGGATGAGCATCAGTCCTGTCAACTCCTCTGCTGTGAGATGATCCAAGACCTCAGAGGCATGTGAGAGCAGATAGATAGATAATACACGTCTACTAAAGCATGTGTTCTCCTTTAACGCATTAGTGATTGTGCTGCACTCAATTCATCAGTAATGTTGTTGTGGTTTTCCCATGATGCTCAAGTGTCCCAGATGGCAAAGATCCACAGATTCTGGTGCAAGAGGACTTGATGGTATCATGATCTCACCTTCTATCTGTCGGGAAACCATTAATAAGTGGGTGATTAGGGCAGAAACATGAAGGTGGGATATTCCCCTTAGAGTCGTATAGAGCTTCAGTGCAGGAGTCGCTTTCCATCGTATTCTGCTGTTCATATGCAGAAGAATGATGCCTTCCATCAGCTGTGTTCAGATAAAAGAAATGAATTATTCAAACACATTTATTCGAATGCTTCACAGATATCACACGCCCTAGTGTTGCTTTAGTTTTGCCACATGCTGGCACTAAAAATGATTACATATGATACTGTATGTCTTGAAATATGGATTTTCTTGTATTATAATATAGATAGATAGATAGATAGAATGACAAAAAGATAGACAGACAGACAGACAGACAGACAGACAGATAGATAGATAGATAGATAGATAGATAGATAGATAGAATGACAAGACAGACAGACGGATAGACAGACAGACGGATAGATAGATAGATAGATAGATAGACGGACGGACGGACGGACGAATGGATGGATAGATGGATAGATAGATAGACAGAGACAGACAGACAGACAGACGGATAGACGGACAGATAGACAGACAGACAGACAGACAGATAGATAGATAGATAGATAGATAGATAGATAGATAGATAGATAGATAGATAGATAGATAGATAGATAGATAGATAGATAGATAGATAGATAGATAGATAGATAGATAGATAGATAGATAGATAGATAGATAGATAGATAGATAGATAGATAGATAGATAGATAGATAGATAGATAGATAGATAGATAGATAGATAGATAGATAGATAGATAGATAGATAGATAGATAGATAGATAGATAGATAGATAGATAGATAGATAGATAGATAGATAGATAGATAGATAGATAGATAGATAGATAGA